GGGGGAGAGATGGGGGGGCATTCCTCAAAGCCTTCAAACGTACTCAACCAGATAAACGTTACCTACCGTAGGACGGGCAAGTATACTGGCATACAAGTTCAACCAAAACAATAAGTTCCGTGTAACCTTCCCCGCCTTCAAAAGACTTTCTCCTAGACCCTATGGCATATTTCCTTCCCACCATAGGCAGGCACCAATACTTCCGGTTCGTCTGCAGATAGTCGGATAAAAGGAAATTCCCAAGAGCATTATTAATATTGCCCCTACCCTGGACTCCCCAGATATTCTGCTGCAACACGACCGAATATTTTGGTAAGCGTACGATGTTTATTTATCCCTGTTCTGTGAGGCGGTAGGTATACACAACGTAAGCTTTTCCCAGCGGAATGTTGGAGCGTACTGGAACTCGTGGAAGTATGGCATTTCAAATAACACACGTATGGTATTTTACGGTGGCCGGGATTACAATATTCTTTAATACGATATCTTGCTCTTGTACTTGTAAAAACACACTATAAACAACACACATCAAGCACAATGGCAGTATGGCGTTTCAATAACACACTCTTGTCATTTTGCGGTGACTATGATTATAATTAAGAGCGCAAAAAGTTTCGTGAGCAATTTTCGTCAGCTTATGCACACAGCAGATCTCCATACTTTCCTGAAATTATGGGTATCCACAGATGTACACGTCTTAGATTCAGCACCACCATCACGAGGTACAACAAGAAATTAATGTTCAAAACACTGCAAGAAGTTGTTCTTGTTGTTTTACATCCAGCCTTCACAGTCGTCGCCGTCTTTCTGACAGATGTATCCTATCTTGAGATGACACGGCAGGTCGTTCCAGTACTTTCCCGCCAAGCCTTTGTTGATCTCCATGCAGTGCTCGCTGTTCTTGTGGTTGTCCGGCTGGTTCCGGTGCCAGTCCTCCACGGCCAGGTGTTTGTTGGAAGTGACCCACGTCCAGGTGCCTTCTTTGCCATCGTCAGATGCGCCAATCCAGAGCCTTGAGCTACCAATGGTAACAACCCGTTTCACGTATTCAAGGGAGACATGGTCGTGGATTTCGGCCAGGTAGCCACCGAGAGACAGACATTTCTTTCTGGCGTCTGCCCACGTAAGGCGTATTCTCTGGAACACTTTGTAACACTGGAACTTTTTGCTGGCTCTACTTTTCAGCTCGCAGCCGTTTCTGTAAGAGCAAAGATTGACCTCCCTTTGCGTAGTAATTTCTTCTTCTACCTTTGAGACTGTCTCTTCCATATTCTCAAACTTTTGCTGCAGAGAAAGAAGTCCGTCACTGATATTTGTGGACGCTTGGTCTAAAACGCTCAGTACGAGAGCATCTAGGTCGGTTTCCGTAGTGTCTCTGTCCTTCCAATCAAGGACAGATTCCGATAGTTGAGATATCGTGAGATTGATTGACAAGACGGTTTGTTCATACTCTCGTTGAAGTTTCTCTCTCGTCTCATTGAGCCCATCCACAGATTGGAGCAAAACTGTCGCAGAATGCTTCTCTGAGTCTCTTACCTTCTCCAGGACTTCCGATCGGAACTCTTCCTTGATGGAGGCAGACTCGTTGAGTAGTGACGTCTGCAGCTCTACTATCCAGGTGTCGACAGAGTCCAGAACCCCCTGAAGCTTTGACGATGAAACGAACGTCTGATTAGTCAACATTGACACCCCAGAGAATAATTCAGACAGTTTGTTTGACTGGGCTTGTGATGAAGCGTTTGAAACAAGGACTAGCTTTGAAACCGCGTCAGTTAGATTGAAGAATTGTGCGGTGCTGGTATTTTTGTTTTCATCTAAAGAGTCTTTCACTTTCTTTACTGCGTCGAAAACGGACATCGAAACGTTTTTCAATTCAGAATTCATCGTGCTGCTCACGTTAAGAGCAGCTCCCATTTCTTCTATCCGAGTATCTAATCGTGACAACCTCTCTCCCACCGACGCTTTGCTGTCGTCAACAGATACGATAACCTCCCGGAGTGAAGCGTGCATTTTCTTCGTCGACCGTTCGAGACTAGAGAGGTTCCGAACAACCCCCACGAACCTGTCATTGATTCCGTCCGTAAAGTTCAGGAGAAAGTCCTTGACGAAGTCGGCACCATCGCCAGCCAGTCGTGTTGTCTCCTGTGAAGAACGGAGTGTGTTTTCTGGCTCTGAGTTGAGCGGGGTAACACTGTCAGGGCGCACGGTTGTTAGTTCTAGATTCTGCACAATCCTCTCGGCTTTGGCCCGACTCGTGTCCACAACACGCTGACCGCTCTTCCCCTCCCCCACCCTGCACTGAGTTATGTACTCCGTCAGTTTCGCGTCCATATCGGAAAAGGCCTTCTCCGCCCGGAGAGTGCAGACGATGACGACAACGGCAGCAGCAGACACGAGAAGCGCGGCAACGATGACGCAAACCCATTTCAGAATGTACAGTTTCTTGTATTTGTTAATGAAAAACTTGGATTTTTCCCCCAGGAGCTGGTCAGAGCGATAATCTTCATTGCTGCAATTTGCGTTTTCCGCCGTTTCATCCGACCGGTTGTGCATTTCCATCTCGCAACGAAACAAAACAACTTTTCACTTCTGTGCAACAAAAGTTGACGTCAACCAACAAGATATTTCCTGCGATATCGGAATACTAATTTTAAAAGCCTTTCTCAAACACTCTCTGAAACTCGCGAGCAAGCGGCAATTCTAGAAGTCTGTACTTGGTAAGGTCCGTCAACTAAAGCTGGGCTGTTTTTTCTCTGCTCCTTCCCATAGACAGGGAAATGAATAAATGACAGAGAGAGACGGAGAGAGAGAGAGAGAGAGAGAGAGAGAGGCGGACAGAGAACTGATATCGCCACCACTGTGGGAGGTTTGTCTGGCTTAACCCTGCGGCGGGCTGTTCTTATAGTCGTCACTCACCCACACACTCACACACTCA